AGCAGTAAATACCATTGTTTTTTCAAGCTGGTAAGAGTAGACTATATGTTATAAATGAGCAAAAAGGAAAAAGTGAGGTTGGCTACAAAAATGTGATTTATTCAAATTTCCCAAGGCAATGGTAAACAAAGTGCACATTTGGTTTTTGTTAAACATTTGTAACTTATATTAGTTAACAGTTTCAGTCACATTCACTCCAAAACACATTCTGAGTTTCAAATATTGTTGGAAAGAGGTTCTTAGCATTCTACAGACACATAGTATTGTCTGTAAAATAAAATCACTGAACTGTGATCTTGAGAAAGAGGTTTCAAAAAAAGTGTCCCAGTTCACTGCTAGTTGCCTACATTTGTGGTCCAAACACCTTATTTTGTGTTTTTAAGCGATTTTTTTCTTATTCAGTGAGAGAAATCTCTGCTGGGCTTTAGCGAGTGCATCAAAGTCAGGTTGAATGTCTGAGGTGGAGATGCGAAGCACAGCTGACAAATGATCATCAGTGAGGGAGGATCTTTACCTGGATTTTGTAAACTTCATCATTGAAAATGTTTGTTCACAAATGTAGGTAGAGCCGAAGAAAACCAACATCTTCTGAGCATGTCTCCTCAGGTTTGGAAAGTTCTCCTCCTTAAGAGAAGAGTAGAAATCCAGCAGAGATCCTGAATCTCTGCTTTCAAGTCCCAAACCCTCTTCAGCACTTTCCCCAGGCTGAGCCATCTGACAGCTGTGTGGAGTCCTCCAAAAGAGCGAGAAACTGTCTGTGATTCATTGCCCGCGCCCTGATGAAGTTTATTATTTTAGTAACAACATCAGTAACATGGTTGATTTTGAGCACTGACTTGCACAACACATGTTGGTGTATAATTCAATGCAAAAACACCAATTTTTGATCTGCATCGATTTCTGTCACTTTATCTTGCATGCATTTCAAAAGTCTGATATTTTTCCCTGTAAGATTTGGACAACCGTCTGTTGTGACACCTGACAGTCTCTCCCATTTCAATCCCAGAGTGTCCATGCATGCATTTACCTCTGTAAAAAGATCACTCCCTGTCGTTGTCCCTTGCTGCCAGCTCCTCTGTGAGCTTGAAGCCCGTTATCCCCCGGACAAATAGGAGCAGCTGGGCTGTGTCCCGGACATCACAGCTCTCGTCTAATGAGAAAAAGTCAAAACTTGCCACTTCACGTTGCAGCTGAAGCTCCAGGTTCTCCGCAATGTCCTCGATCCTCCTGGTCACGGTTCGCCTGGACAGCGGGATTTGCTCAAGTGCGCCTTTTTTTCAGGGCATATTAGTGCGGCAGAGTCCACCATGCACTCACTGACAAACTCTCCCTCCGAAAACAGCTTGCTGTCTTTAGCTATTTTGTGGGATATCACAAAGCTGGTCCTGGTTGCTGCATCCCTGGATGTGTGAAGCTTAGTAAAAAAGCCTTGCTGCTTTTGCAACTTTGCTAGCAAAGCTTCAGATGTCCGTGCCCTCTCAGCATCAGACGAGTTCTTGTATTTTTCCGAGTGTTTCTTGTCGTAATGCCGACTCAAATTGTAGTTCTTAAACACGGCAATCTCCTCCCCGCAAACCAAACACATGGCTTTACCTCCGACTTCAGTAAAAAAAAATACTTAGCAGTCCAATTTTTGTTGAAAATCCTGCATTCTGCATCTTTCTTTTTTTTTTTTTTTTTTTTTTTTTTTTTTTTTTGCATGAGCGGACATTTCTCGGGCTACAATCACCATGTCAACCGCGGGCACTTGTTGCTATACGTATTGCGTCATTGTGCACGTAAAAAACAACTTCAAAATAAAAGCAATGCAGCCTTAGCCCATGTATGAGGTAAAATGAGAAAATACATTTATTTTGTAATTTCCAATTAACCTTACGCGGGCCGGTCAAAGTCAACCAAAGGGCCGTATGTGGCCCGCGGGCCGGTCAAAGTCAACCAAAGGGCCGTATGTGGCCCGCGGGCCGTAAAAGGCCCAGGTCTGCTCTAGAAGCTATGATGAGAAACGTTTAGCTGTCTGAAGCCGTTTTGAGGAGAAAATCTCTGTTCGTTTAACATGGGTTTCAATGAGACAGAATCTGGGTCTCTCCTCTTTCTGAGGCTTGTAGCGAAAGAACGGTAACACTTATAGATAAAATGAAACCCATTCTGAAAATCTGACAAAATTTCCTACTTTTTGAGTTATAATTTGTTTCGGTAGTCCAAACGGTCTGGGGGTAGTAAGGAGCTGTTCACAGAAGATGTGAAGTTCAAAAGGCACAGTGCGGAATTCTTAATTTAGAGTGGGAGAGACAGTTTTTTTTATTTGAATTTTCTCAAACAAATGAACCGTACGACCACAATGTTTGGAGTATAGTCATGAATTATAACTCAAAATGAAGGTATATTCGTTAGCTGTAAGCCAGTGTGTGTCTCATTTCAATCGGACCTATGGTTCTCTCGGGACAACGCCGGAAATGGAGCAAGGGAAGGTCACTGCTCCAATCTTTCCCCATTATAACTTTTGTGAATTTTTCTGAAAATTTCAAGTCATACCTCAACTTCTACCTGCGATTTTAGAAAAACCGTAAAATATATCAAAAAGCCTCTTTAATATGTTAAACAGGAAAGTCTTGTGAGTTTGATAAACTTTTAATGAAGTCTCTAAGTTAAAAGGAACCCTATAGAGTTTGAAGTAAAAAAAGTGATAGGAATTTGCTGAAAATTGACCAATCCCATTCATTTGAATGGGAAATTTTTCGCAGAAAAAGCTTAATAACTCGAAAAATTTGATAGATATCAATGCCAAAAGTAATAGCCGGAAAGAGCTTAACGAGCTGAACGTTTTGATATAAAATTGTTGAAATAGCTCAAAATTTGAAGGAGAAGAAGAGGTTCAAAAAGTGTATGGAAGCAGAATAAGAAGAAGCAGAAGAATGAAGAGAAACAGGAAAACAATAGTTTGAATGCTTACCAGCATTCAAACAATAAACTGTATTTGCTGTTTATTATAAACATGTAATAATAATCATAAATAATAATCATGGTTCAGTATAAATGTATTTAATTACTGAAATGACTTAATATTCTTTGGGTTAATAATAATTATTATTTATGATAACCAGTAATGTGTGATCAGTAACCAGAAGGTCATTTGCACGTGTACACCTCATGCAGGACTGAATCCAGGGTAAAGTTAACTTGCTCTCACATGTCTTGGCTCCATAACAACGAGCTTTCTGACGCTGAGAGGGCGTGCTCTGGGGTTTTGTTTAAACCAAATCTCCGCAGCTCAAGTCCAGTTCTTGAACCAACCAGAAGACGAGGGACGGCCGCCCAAGCCTCTACTAAGCTGTTCTGTCATGCCGATAAAATTGCTCCGAATGAACGCACCTGTAACCAGCTGACGCAAAACTCCTTCAGAGTTATTGATTTTGAGACGCAAATAGTTCCATCAGTCGTTGTGACCCGGAGACATCTCAGGATCGATTTGGGTCGCACTAAGGTCCCTCTACCAACCTCGTGCTCGGAGGAAACCATCTTCACCTGACATCTCGGATCCACCGAGGGTCTCCTGAACTGGGTGAGGTAGACACTTGTCGACAGATGGTGTCTTATGCTGTTCTCACTAAGAAACCACTAAGTTAGCTGCAAAACAATATTTTTCACTCAGAACGCATTTCTCTCTCTGAAAGAAATCTTCTGAGATTCATCCACACATCCAAACCTCGCATTTTATTTAGCTTTTCATTCAGACACAGGTAAAGCTTTTAATACCAGGTTTAATATCAAAGCTGTTACAAATTGTCATTTTCAAATTGTCATCTTTAAAATTTTTAGTAATAAATTCTTAACTTTTTAAACCTGACTCTTCTTTGAAATGAAACACACAAAGGTGTATATTTGATTATTGAATCAGCAAAGAATCCATTAAGTCTTCTGTTTAATAAATAAACTTTGGTATTAAATTTAATTATCTTAAATTAAAAATTAATCTTTGGATTAAAATATAGACCAAGACAGTTGATGTATGAACTTCTATCGATTGTATTAATATCCTAGATATTTATGCATAATATAAGTTCATATGCTAATGTGTCCGATCTTTTCTCAGGATTTAACCAAACTGATAGCAAACAGTGTTAAATCCTAGTATGAAGATTGCCAACACTACATGTATGTTTAATCGTATCTGTTTTTCTTTGGTGTAAAGCTAGCTATGTGTGTGTTGCTGCTGCCTCTGCCTTGGCCAGATCGTCTCAATCGACACAGCTGGTTAAATAAAGCTTTAATAAAATGAATTGAAGACGATGGTCCTCACAACAGATGTTGGACAAGAATGTGTGTGTGTAGTGGGGTTTGCACACACACAAACACACACACACACACACACACACACACACACACACACACACACACACACACACACACACACACACACACACACACACACACACACACACACACACACACACACACACACACACGCTGAAACATGACTGGGTTAGCGTTTGTCCTTATGGACAGAAATGTTCTTGGCTCATGGGTGCAAAAGTCCATTTATATCAGTAATCCATAGACTGAGAGACTATCTAAAGTAGGGGTCTCCAACCTTTTTTGACCTGTGAGCTGCTTTTACACAATGAAAGTACAAAAGAGCTACCACCATACAATTTATTTACATTGAGATTTTCCATGTGTGAATATGCTAATGTTAAAAATGCTATACTTACTATATCAACATGCATCTACTTGACTTCTCTGTATTTTCCATCCATCCATTGTCTGAACCCGCTTCATCCACGTAGGGTCGCGGGGGGCTGGTGCCTATCTCCAGCGGTCAATGGGCAATCAGGCGGGGTACACCCTGGACAGAGAGCCAGTCCATCACGGGGCCTCTGTTTTTCATACATCAATATTATAGAAAAATTACAAGGAAAATAGTGACATTCTGAAAACCAAACACTAAACAGATCCTTTCAGATAATGAATGACACATCTACTTTGTGTAAATGATTTTACCTTTTTTTTTTCTTGTGGATCAGTAACATAACTTTCTGAGCTTCAGTCCCCGACCCTGTGCCCTGCCGGAGCCTAAGCAGCAAAAGTTTTATTCATAAATGAACAAATACTTCCAAAAATTATAGAATGCCTTTTCAAGAACATTTAATGTTTTTCAAATTTTATTTTATACAAAACCTTTCAAGTAATAGTTTTGTTATGATTATTTTTCCAAACATGCTAAACAAATTTTCAGTATTTTTAATACAATTCTGATTCAATTCAAATTCAAAGATACTTTATTAATCCCAGAGGGAAAATAGAGTTTCAGAACACACAATTCTGAGACATTCATACATAGGCATAGACACATGACAAGAATTGGTGACTATGGTCATTCGCAACCCGAGTCGCGCTACCTTAATAGAGATCAGAGGGTTTATATATGAGGATTGAGTCAGGTGGAGGAAAAAAGGGCACTTCAGAGTTACCCTCTGGGGCAGCTTGGCTATGCAAAAAAAAAAAAACACCTCAGACAGAAATGCGACAGACTTCAGACATTGCACAACATAAGTGTCCACTAGGTGGGGTGGTAGTGTTTTGGGACTCTCCACACGTCAGCAGCCGCGATAAGCAGCGCTCTTCACCTCAGTCTGGAAAGGGTTGGGAGGTCGTTGGGTTCAGAGGGCACAGTGAACCTGGAACGATTCAGCGGCCTTCACAGCTCACAGTCCCGCCCAGGCCGGGATAGGGAGACAGAGTTGCCATGGCGACAGCAGCATTCCACATTTCTTCGGGGGGGCTATTCGTTTCAGCTTCACAGACTCAAGGGCACCAGATTCAGATAAGACATTGTTTTGGGGCCAGACAGAGATCATTTCTTCTCTGTCTTAAAGTTCCACTGGTCCTCAACCTCTCAAAATCCAATAATGGCGTAGATTAATCTATCCCAATCTGTGCTGATTCATCCACTCGCTCCTTGATCGCATCCATCTTTTGTGCCAACACATTAATCTCAGCCAAAGTTCCAAGCTTACGACTCATCTCGACAATTATATGAGTCTGTGAATTCACAGCGCGGTGTAATCCATCCCTGAGCTCCGGGAGTGAGCCAATATTCCTCGACAGCTCGTTAATGTTCCGGTAAGTCAGGTAACCTCCAAGGCCAAAGAGCAGGAAACCTGACACCAACACCACAAATATCCAAATGTCTTCAGAATCCTCTACAGACAGCTGAGATAGGCAGATCAGATTCCACTGTTTCCAGGAGTCCATGATGTGCCCAACTGGATCTGTCCCAGAGGGGCACCCAGGAGCCCCTTCTCCCGTTCTCATTGTTGAGAAAATTTTGTCAATCGTGTTGAGTAACCAGCTGACCAGGTCCATTTTTAATAATTTCCAGTTTCCAGAAAAAATGTAGAAGCACCATACACCCAGAGACAGACAAAGAGCCTTGGGAATAAGATAGCGAGGAGAGGAGGAAAAAAGCGCCTGTACTCTCCAAGAGCCGAAAGAAGAATACAAGCTAAATCTGATGAAAACATTTTAAAAAGTTTTAACTGAAAACTGTAAACACGGAAAACAGTTTTCCTGCATTCCTGATTTGTTGAATCACTTTTTTCCTTGTAGCTTCACTGTGGAATAACTGCAGGTAAATTATGCTTAGCTGTGTTTATTGCTGACTATATTAAGGTTGGAGGTTTAGTTGTAAGTGTAGTTTGGTTTTTTCTCTGCGGCTCTGATGGCTGTGCAACACAGAGCAGAGGGAGAGAGAGGGAGAGCGTTCACGATCACGTTCTATTACTAAATGAGACAATCAGATGAAACTGCTGAGGGAAGTTTATTGAAACTAAATAACAGGAGATGTCCAGAGCAGGGCCGGTTTTACCCACAGACACAATTTGCTGGACAGGGCTGAAAATTGCAGAATGAAAAAAAAAAAAAAACGTTAATGCTCTTTCAACCTCCAGCACACAACGCCCATTTACAGTCAGCTAATACACAGAACAAAGGAAAACGAATACAACATTTTTAAATATGAAACTTGCTGCAGTAATGCAATTTAACCATGCTTTACCAGTGGTGTTTGTGACTGAGGGAAAAACCTTAATAAACATGAAGGAGACCAGCTGTACAAGAAATAAAAAACTTTTATTAAACACCAGTTAAATGCAGCATGCAGCACAGATCAGTGGCGTAACCATCCTATCTTATTCAAATCAGTAAACACTTTGTTTCATTTCTGATATTGTATCACACAGTTTAGGCTCTGAACCAGAGTTCCATCACTCTCTTTTCTTCTCCCAAGCCAACGGCCTGGCGAGGTTTATCTTGCAGTTAATGACTCTTTGGTTACAGAGTCTGTCTCATTGCAAGCGTCAGTTTACTTTTGGGAGCATTGTCCCACTCTCTCACCCAACTCTGTGTCTGTACTAAGGTGAATTTATGAAAGTTGTTGTTAAAAGTGAATGTGTGTTCATCTGAATGTGATTTTGCCACTTTTGTTTATGCTTGTTGTGTAACTCGGATCAGAGAAAGTCTGATGTTAGCACGAAGCTACCTCCTGTTTCTGGTCTGATCAACTGTGAATTATTAAACAGCCCGACGCACTAGAGCCCTGCACTGAAGCCCTAGGCCCTCGGGTCGGCCTGGCCCGACGGCCCTGGGGCCGGGCTTTGGGCCAACGACTGTGTAATTACCTCGGACACGGGCCGGGCGCCAAATTCATTTAAAAAAATTGAAACACTTAAACCAGGGGTCGGCAACCTGTTCCCTTCAAAGAGCCATTATTACCCGTTTCCCACAGTAAAGAAAACACTGGGAGCCGCAGCAGCCGTGGCATTGTGGGCGGGGCCTACCCTCAGACAGCAGAGAGCTGTTCACAACAGGTGACAGCAGCCAGTACTGGTTGCTTGTGTATGTCAAAGTTATCTTTCATAAGAAGATAATCAATAAAACGATTTATATAAAGTGGATCCAGAAGTTGTAGCCCGTCTCTGCCTACAGTATTTTGATATTTTTCACCCTGTTGGTGGTTTTACTGAGCAGGTGCCACTTTGTCATACGTTTCTTTTTAAAACATGTTTAGACTGTTCAGAATACAAATCCAGGCTCTGTCACGTTTGACTGTTGTAATTAAACTTTGTAGGTGGGGAAGGTCAGAAAAGGATCCGATCATTTTGTTTTTCCCTCATTTACAGTGACGGAGACAACGGTGCAGTGCTCCTGGCTCTGGTGGTAATCAAGTTAAATTATATCTATTTTCACAAGAAAAGAGAACAGTTAAAAGCAGGGCTTGTGTTGTGTTGACTGGATAGTTCCTGTATTTGACCGTTTATTTTGACGGAGAAAGAATAGAAAGAATTACCCCGACGCATGCAGACGAACTGACATTTTATTCTATGCACATCGCAGATGTAGCTAAATCACTCAAGAAAAGATTCCCATCTGAACATCTGAGCTGGACACTGCTCAGCGCAGCTCGCTGTCAGCGTGCACTACATAAGGTCCACAGCGAGCTGAAGATGTGGAGAGGGGCTTGGAGTGTGTCGCAGAACCAGAGCGCATGCGGGAAGATTCCCGCTGATCTGAAGCTGATGCGGCTCTCTGTGCTTGTAAAATAATGAATGGATATTTAAATAAAATGCTTCATATTTTACTGAATTAATTTTATATCTGTCTGCCAAGTCTATGTAAAGATTGTCTGCGTAAACCTGAACAGGCCCAACCCAGTCTTACTGTGAGACCGGGTTGACGGGTCACGCTTGTGCGTAATCATATCGGCGCTTTCTGAGCCGAAGATGTGAGATTCTGGGATTCTCCTCAGACGGCTCCTGGATGTGTCGCCACATTGGAGACAGGAACAAGAGCTATTCAGCCAAAGTTTCATAATCAGGGAACATTTTCTAAGTGACAAGTCTCTCTGAGAGACAGGGTTTAGAAAACACTCGCTTCAGTGGGAGGAACCTTCCCGCATGCGCTCTGGTTCTGCGACGCGCTCCAAGCCAATCTCCACAAGTTCAGCTCGCTGTGCACACATGCGCTGACATATGAGACTGGACATTCAACAGCAGTTTGCAAATTTAAACCATAATTTCCAAAATTTGGATGAAAGGGTCATATCTTTGGATGAAAGGGTCATATCTTTGGATAAAAGAATTGATGCTATTGAGAAAGCTTCCTGCCCTGGGCAGGTTTTAACCTTTTCTTCTGCTGATTCGTCTCCAGATGTGGAACGAAAACTGCAACCAGATAACAAGCTCAATGACTCTGATCTCCAGGAATTGGACCAAAAATGTGCTACTGCTACAATGATGATTAATTCATCCACCTGTGACAATGGTCCGTCTCCCCCGGTGTCGAGTCTGCCAAACTGTTCTTGGGACACCTCTTGCCTCATGGGAAAGCAGGTAAGCCCCTGGTGTCGGTGACACTGGAGCAGGTGCTCCTCTGCAACGCTCTTCTGTACACTGGTTCAGACTACACATTCATGTGCCATTCTATTTTCAGCCGCCTCTGCCTTCCTGCTGGAGGAGGAGTCCGACCTCCAGAACGCACTCCATGTGCGGTAACTGTCCGTGTTTTCTCTCCTCGTAGCATGATTTTGTCATCCAGGTCTCTTCTCCACTTCACGATGGGTACTTCTTCTGGCTCTTGAAGGGTGCAGACGCTTTTCTTCTCCTCTCCTTAATATCTTATCCTCAAGGCCTTTGTCTGTGTGTGCTGGGTGCACAGCTGCTTCTGCATTTTTTCTGGAAACTGGAAACTAAAATTCACTCAAATGGATCTCGTCAGTTGGTCACTCAACGCAGTTGATAACATTTTTTCAACGATGAGAACGGGAGAAGGGGCTTCCGGATGCCCCTCCAGGACAGACCAGCTGTCTGTGGAGGACTCTGAAGATGTGTGGATATTCATGGTGTTGGTGTCGGGTTTCCTGCTCATTGGCCTTGGAGGCTACCTGGCTTACCGGAAAATTAACGAGCTGTCGAGGAATATTGGCCAGATCCCGGAGCTCAGAGATGGATTGCACCGCACTGTGAATTCACAGACTCACATAATTGCTGAGATGAATCGTAAGCTTGGGACTTTGGCCGAGATTCATTATTGGCACAAAAGATGGATGCCATCAAGGAGAGAGTGGACGGATCAGCACGGAATGGGATAGTTTAATGTCCATTATTGGGCTTTTGAGAGGTTGAGGACCAACAAACTGTACGACAGAGAGGAAATGATCTCTGTCTGGCCCAAAACAATTTCTAATCGGAATCTGGTGTCCTTGAGCCTGCAAGGCTCCAACGAAAACTACCCCCTCAGAAGATATGTGGAATGTGCTGTCGCTATGGCAACTCAATTCTGTCTCCTATCCCAAGCTGGGCGGGACTGCGGAAAGACCGCTGAAACATTCCAGGGTCACTGCAACCCTCCAACCCTCAATGCTCCTCCCCCGATCCACACTGAGGTGACATGCGCTGCTTATCGTGGCTGCAGGAACTGAAGTAGGGATAGTACCAACCCACCACCCCACCTAGTGGACACTTATGTTATGTTGTCTGAAGTCTGTTGCATATATGTTTGAGGTGTTTTTTTGCAGAGCAAAGCTGACCTCCTGGTGGGAGGGTAACTCTGAAGTGCCTTTTTTTCCCCTCCACCTGAACCAACCCTCATGTAAACCCCTCTAATCTCTATTAAGGTAGAGCAACTCGGGTTTTAATTTTTACCAGTTATGGGCTACAGATTATTTTGCCCTTCTCTTTGGATAACATTTGTGCTCAAAAGCGTTGATTTTCCCTTACATACAGTTTGACCTCTTCAGTATCTGGTCACATGGAGACAGGAGTCTACATTTGTTGTCTTTAATCTGCCGGATCCTGCCATTCCATCAGCTGGAGTCCGAGCCTCTGCAGCTCTGAACACATGATAACATATTGTCAACAAACTGTTCCCGTTCAAGGCCTTAAAGGGACTTTACGGGGTTTTGAATTTTTATGCTCGCGATTGCCCCTCAGGCCAAAAGCGTAACGGACGCTTCAATAGTAGGCTCGTGCACGAGGTGCACATGCTGTACGTGCACACTCCTTAACAAAAATAACAGCTGAGACAGTCCCTTGTGTGTGTGTGTGTGTGTGTGTGTGTGTGTGTGTGTGTGTGTGTGTGTTTGGCCTGGAGGGCAGAGGACAGGAGAACGCGCAGCTAATTAATTAAATAATTTGGTTCTGTACCTTTCTCTTCAGCACAGCCGACAAAGGTTTAAGATGAGTCAGTCCTGCATGCTCAGATCATTTTCTTCCCTTGCTTGAAAAATTGTTCTAAAATGAAAGTTGAACCCACATCTTTTTTATCTGTGAATTCAATGCCATTCGGCGAGTCTCAAATAAAAATGTGGGCATCTTACTGTAAGAAAATTTACCATTAATGTAAAAGACTCTAAATAAACTATGTTGACTTCCAGAATCGAACCTGGGTCTTCTGCACGGGAGGCAGACATCTTGCTAGGTGAGCTAAAGCAGCAGTGACATCCTTTGTATCTGTAGTTTATATCCTTGCTGACAGCTGAAACAACGTTCAAAGAACGGTTCGGAACGAAAACGGCTATTTTGTTGCTAATTTTCAGGAAATATCTGGAAGAAAGTTCTATAGAAAGTAGCCAAGGGTCCTCAGAAATGTAGCTAGCTTTGTCACTAGGCGCTAGGAACAGAGACAAAGATTAAAGCTACGGATAGCAAATGCTACGGGCTATGCCTGAGAGTGAAAGCGCATGAAGCAGCCTGCTCAACCCGAGCAGCTCTTTTTTTCTGTGATTTTACAGAAAAACAGGCAATCACAGTAAAAATGCCTGGGCTCATTCTACAGGACCAGGGCGTTGCAGTAGAAATGTATTATTTCTATACATGTTTTGGCTGTCAAACTTCCATAATGCCCCTTTAAGCTTCCCTCATCTCTTCTACAGGATTCCTCATGGCTCTGAACAAAAGTGAACATTTTCAGCTCATATGAGTTAATTAATCACGAAGTGAAATGAACAATATGGTTAAATGAAATGTTTTGATGAATCTGTGCCTAAGTTAATAAGGTTGAAATTAATTTTCATATTACAATAAAACAATTTGATGTTATGATCAGCAATGTTTGGTTTAACAAGTGAATAATTATCTACACTCATACACAATGTTGATAAGATAAAGTAATTTCTGCACATAGATATTTTCTTACCAACAAATCAGAGAACCTTCTGTCTGAAAGAAGGCGTGATGTTTTGAGGTTTGTTTGTTAACACCTCATAACATGGCACGCCCCAATTGGCAAAGTAAATCATAATATGAGAATATTAAAACAGGATCACTTGCGGAGTGATTCAGCATTCTGTTAGTTTGAGCAGAACTCGGGACTGGCCACGGGGGAAAACTTTCTAACCACCGCATCTCTTGACAAGCTGTCAACCCTGCTACAAGCTACAGCTGACACAGCAAAACAGTTCATTCAGCTTCTTTTGTACGTTCTTGCTGTGTTTGTCTTCTAATTCCATTTTTGGTTCTTTTTTAAACACAGATAAGGTTTTTCTTTACCTTGCTGAAGGTTTCGTTTGCAGCTGCAAACATCTTCAGAGCTGACGCTGATGGTGGCATCACTTCCTACTCCAGGTTCCTTCAGCTATTCAGAAACAGCTGTTCTAGATGCAAACTCGTTCCAACCTGTTGTTCCTGGTGACATCTCTGGACTGGAGCGTCGGTGCTGTGGTTAATCTACTGAACCTCGGTGCCTAGAGGTCATCCGACCTGCCTGACCTCCGGATCCGCGAAGAGGGTCTCCAAAAAGGGTGAGGTAGACACAGCATCAATTGTGTCTGATGCCGTTTTGATAAGAACCAACTTCATAGTTTAATGCAGACCAAATTCTTTTCACACCCAGAACTCAGTTTCTTCTAGATACAAGGTTCTGATAAACACACACCATTCAATCACCAAACATCACATCCCATCCACTTATATTCATGCATCACAGTCGTCTTATTTAAAGGGACTTAACAGAGTTTTGAATTTTTATGGTCGCGATTGCCCCCTCAGGCCAAAAGCGTAACGGCAGCTTCAATAGTAGGCTCGTGCACGAGGCGCGCATGCTGTACGTGCACACTCCTTAACGAAAATAACAGCTGAGACAGTCAGCTCTGTGTGTGTGTGTGTGTGTGTGTGTGTGTGTGTGTGTGTGTGTGTGTGTGTGTGGCCTGGAGGACAGAGGACAGGAGAATCCGCAGCTAATTAATTAAATAATTTCGTTCTGTACCTTTCTCTTCAGCACAGCCGGCAAAGGTTTAAGATGGGTCAGTCCTCCTTCATGCTCTTGAAAAATTGTTCCAAAATGAAAGTTGAACCCACATTTTTTTAATCTGTGAATTCAATGCTGTTCGGCTAGTCTCAAATAAAAATTTGGGCATCTTGCTGTAAAAAAATTATACCATTAATGTAAAAAAGAAACTCTAAATAAACTATGTTCACATCCAGAAGCAAACCCGGGTCTTCTGCACGAAAGTCCGACAACTTACTAGGCGAGCTAACACACCAGTGACATCATCTGTATCTGTACCATTTAAGAACAGTTCGGAGGGCTATGCCTGAGCGTGAACGTGCATGAAGCAGCCTGCTCGACCCGAGCATCTCTCTTTTTCTGTGATTTTACAGAAAAACAGGCAATCACAGTAAAAATGTAAGTAAGTAAGAATCCTAGAATCTTCTGATTAAACATTCAAAGACTAATAAGGTTGATAACCTATATTTATATAGAATATCACAGCTTATTGGTCATATGTAGAGGTAATATATTAAGATGAAAAGCAACTATATTTATCCCCAATTTCTTACATAAATAACAAGCCCGTTCCAGGTTGGGGTCAGACTGACAGCCCAATGATTAGGTATCGACTCCACAACATCCCAAAAGGGCACTGCACTTCACAACCGCACACCACCCTTCACTGCCCCTGAGCCCAACCTGCTATACAGCAAACCCACCCATGAGAGATGGGCTGCTAAGCCACTGCACACACCCCCAGTAAACCAGGCTGTAAATCCTCCACAACCAGGTGAAAACTCTTAAAATGGCCACAGCAATAAACAAAAGGAATAAAGTTAAAAAGCACTTAGCTGTCCCTGAAGGTCAAGGCCCTCCCTCGGGGTCTAGGCTTGTACACCGATGCTATGCGGTCCCGGTCTCATTCAGTCTGAGCAAGGAAGTCCGCTAGATCGGCGCAGTGGGATCCTCCACAGACAGCAGGAGGTTCCTTTCCAACTGGAGAAGAAGAAGAAGAAGAAGAAGAAGAAGAAGAAGAAGAAGAAGAAGAAGAAGAAGAAGAAGAAGAAGAAGAAGAAGAAGAAGAAGATATCATTTTATAGCGCCTCTCAAGATGAAAATCATGAAGCGCTTCACAAAAACAAAAAATGTGAAAATATAAAAAATAATTTAGAAAATGGTTAAAAATATATTTAAAATGAGCAAAAAATTAACAATTGTGATTAAAAAATGTTAAGAAAGAGAGAGAGTGAATAGGAAAGAGGGAAATCAGTGGATCTTGAGGAAGGTGGAATAGGTAGGGAGAGCAGAATAACGAGAGAGTGGTGAAGACAGTCATACAAAAACTGGAGAACAGATGATTGCACTCCTATAGACCCATCTGCCCTACCTAATGCCGGAGCTTGTCCCTACAGCCCCTGGCTATCTTCACCGTCAGCAGCCCTAAACAGCGTGCAAACGGCACCCACTCCACCACTGAGTGCCAAACGGTTGCTTGGCTGGGCTACAACCCTATTTACTTCCACAAAGCTCTGTTCCCCAGCCACACCTCGCGACCTGTTCAGCCTCTCCCCTTATCCCTTTTCCTCCAAACATTTCAACCACCCACAGCTGCAATCAGCATTCCTCCCTCCTCTGTCCACTTACCAATCACCCACTAATCTTCCCCTATCACACACTACACTCCCCCCTCCCTTAAACATGTTCATGTTTATGTTTATTTATTTGGCAGACGTTTTTATCCAAAGCGACTTACAATTTATTAATCTATAGGGCATGTTGTGATCTGTGGGGGAAACCGGAGTACCCGGAGGAAACCCATGCATGCATGGGGAGAACACGCAACTCCACGCAGAAATGCCGCAGCTGAGTTTCGAACCTGCAACCTTCGTGCTGCGAGGCAACAGTGCTAACAACTGCGCCACCATGCAGCCCATGGTGCCTCGAGTCAGATCACGTAGTCCTGTGACTAGACCAGTGGCCTCCTCTGTCGCCGTGGACATCCACCCTGAACTTCTAGGCCCTGTTGTGTCTCCAGCCCTTCAGCTCCTCTTTTCACTCCCTGGCAGTTGTCAACTCCTGGTCCCTCTGTAACTGTCCATGTGACCTCGTTGGTGCCACCTGAATATCGTTCAGGGGTCCTCGATCAGCCCATTACCTCATGTCCTCCTGCTGTCCTCTGTTCTCTGGTGTTTGCCATCGTGTCGAGTCACCACTCCTCCCAGGGACCATCTGCTGATCCATGCTCTGCCATGCCCGTAATTCTTCTTGGTGATTGGACTGTCCTTCCACTCCTTGGGCAGCTGCCAGTTCCAGATCTCCCAGTGGCTGTCCCGGTGACCTCATCGGTGTCGCCCGTCTGTCAGTCAGGGGTCCTCGATTAGCCCGTTGCCCCACGCCCCTTTGCCATCCTCTGTTCTCTGGCGTCCTCCATCATGTTTAGCCTCCACTCCTTTCAAGGCCCATCTGTCGATCCTGGCTCTGTTGTCTCTGTAGTTCTCCATGGCATTTGGACTGTGACACAGGGCAAAGAAAAGGCTTAAGTCTGTTGAAGTGTACAACACTTTCAGTTCCTCCCTCTTGCAGAACCACCCTATACAGAATATAGGGAATTCTTTCCATAATCCTGTATGGGCCACTGAATCCCCTTTGCAATTTTGGACAGACTCCCCCTTTCCTAGCCTTGGTTCAAACCCAGACCAACTCTCCTTCAAAATAGTACTGCCACCTCACTTTCATATCAAAGGCCTCTTTTTGCCTCTCTGAAGCCATAGACTGGTGTCTTTTTACTGCTTCCACCACAAGTGTCAATGTGTCCCTCAGCCTAGACACATAGTCTGTAACTACCAAAGGTTTCTCTCCCTCCAGGGCCCACATTACATCCACAGGTAGCACTATTTCCTGCTCAAACAAAACCTTATAAGGTGTAAAACCCGTGCTAGAATGCACACTGCTTCAGTATGCCAGCATCACATAAGGCAGTAATGAGTCCCAGTTAGCCTGATTTTCCACTACAAACAAGGACAACATTGACAGCAAAGTTCTGTTGAACCTTTCTACTAATCCATCTGATTGAGAGTGGTATGGAGATGTTCCGGATTTATGAATGTTTAACAGATCACAGAGTTCCCTGGATAAGCCCGATTCAAAATTCCTCCATTGATCTGTGTGAATGGAACTAGGAGTCCCCAACCGGCAAACCCATTGTTCAGCCATCACCTTGGCAACAGCCCGAGCTTCCTGATTTTGAAAAAGTAAAGTCCTTAGCCCACTTGGAAAAATGCCAATGACCAGAATGTATTTGTTTTTCATATGAGTTTCTGGCAATGGCCCCAAAATGTCCATTGCGACCCGCTCAAAAGGCCTTGATGCTACAGTAACTTGCAGTGGAGCACAAAACTGAGGTCCAGCCGTCTTTCTTGAACCACAGTCCTTACACTCACGACACCATCATCTCACATCCTCAAACCAACCAGGCCAATAAAATCTGTCTTTTATTTTAGCCTGCAGCTTGTGGACCCCCAAATGACCCGCTGTCACTGAGTCATGTAGCTGACCTTTGGTATAAAGGACTTCGGGAGAACCACTTGAACCTGCTTTGCTGCATCCAAATTGGCTGGCAGCACCCTAACCAACCTCCCTCCCTTAATCTGCAACTGAGCCCACACCGTTTCAAACTTCTGTAACTGTGGTGGAGGATGCAACCCTCCACGGCCATTTTTGAGGGCAATAATCTGTGCCAACTCTACATCCTCCTTCTGGGCCTTGGACAAATCATCAGTTTCCCCTACCCTAGAGGAAACTGTTTCCACCTGCTGTACCGCACACATTGTTTGGGGGGTTTCATCCTCCTCCTCTTGGGGGTTTACTACCTGTTCAAAATCAGCTGGCAGGCATGATAACACATCTGCATTAGAGTGAACTTGGCCCGGCCGATGCATAATCTTATATTGAAAGGTTGCCGGCTTTTACGGCCCCCAGCTCGACTAGGAGATGATGTTGGTTAGAGGGCGTAAAGAAAGGTGGTTGTGAACAGAAACAAACCAAGATTCTCCCTCTTAAAGGAGTTTCTTTAACTAAAAGGGTCTCTTCTTTATGCAGGAAAAGCATAAAAGGTCACAAACACATAAAAGTCATCCAAAACTGGGGTTTAAAGTTAATGATAATAATAAACACAAAGTGCCGGGGTTTAAACCGGGTAAGGAAAAAGCAGGATTAACACAAGAAACTCCACCAGAAGGGTGAGCTAGATCTCTTTAACGAGAATGCCAAATAAACACTAACGAGCTCTAGAAACTAGGAAGAGTTTACCAATACCACACAGGTAACCAAAACGAGACTTTAACGTCTGGACGAGGAGGGAAAGAGGATAGCAAACACTACTGCCTGTTCTCTTCTGAACTTCCCCCGCTGTATATCACCTGGCGCACCCTTTTAACAAGGAGCATCACTGACTGAAATCAGTTACACCTGGCTCAGCTAGAGCCAGGAGAGCAGGTAGGGACGCTGAGGGCACCTAGTGGCCACAGAACAGACGGCGTCTGTTACACCTCCCCCCTCAAAACAACAACTACCAGGAACCAAATGACAGGAGTTGTTGCAACTGTACAAAACTAAAGAGAGCTCCCGCTAGCTAACTACACACACAAAAACAACTAACTAACTAACTGACTGACTCCTGGATCTCAGAAGGCGGGCAGATTAAACACAAAATATCATGCCGCGCTGATCCCCAGCACGGCGGAGTGTCCCCGAGATGTCCGCTTGCGCAGACAACACTAGCCTTACATGAGATGCTTACATCATAAAAATTTTAAAAAATCTACAAGGGAGCCTCAATCTACATGACTTCTCCAAAGCGCGTCAGCCATCACGTTGTCCGTCCCTTTCTTGTGGCGGTCTTCTAGGTTGAACTCTTGAAGGAGGAGGGCCCATCTCATCAGACACTGGTTGGAATTGAACATGCGCTCCAAGAAGGTCAGCGGGTTGTGATCTGTAAAGACAACTGTGGTGAAATGACTGTTGATGTACACATGAAAATGTTGCAGAGACCAAATTAAAGCCAAGGTTTCCTTTTCAATGGTGGAGTACGCGCATTGTGACTGAATGAATTTTCTAGAAAAATAGCAGACGGGGTGATCAAGCCCATCAGCATCTTCTTGAAGGAGAACAGCTCCTGCTCCAGCGTCAGGCATCCACCTCAAGTTTAAATGGCCGGGACAGGTCAGGAGCAGCCAGGATCGGAGCACAACAAAGCAGGTTTCTAAGAGAAAGGAAAGCCTGGTGACAGTCTGGGGTGCAAGAAAAGGGAATGTTAGTACTCAACATGTCAGTTAAGGGTTTTTCAACCGTTGAAAAGTTCCTACAAAAACATAGGTAATAACCGGTCATGCCTAGGAACCGTCTTAGCTCCCTCCGAGTGGTAGGTGGAGGAAAAGAGATGATGGCCTGGATTTTGTCAGTAAGGGCCCTTACTTGACCTTGACCCACTTCTTTTCCCAGACACCGGACAGTAGCTTCAACAAACTCACATTTTGCGAGATTTAAAGTGAGATTAGCAGACTTGAGTCTATCAAACACCCGCTGTAAGGTCTGAAGGTGAAGATCCCAAGAAGGTGAGTAAACCACGATATCATCCAGGTATGCACTGCAGTGTGGGATGTTAGATAAAACCTGGTTGACTAATCTCTGGAAAGTAGCTGGAGCATTTCTTAAACCGAAAGGTAGCACTGTATATTGCAGGAGGTTATCAGGAGTAACAAAGGCAGAAACCTTAGAAGCGAATGGAGTCAAAGGCACCTGCCAGTTACCTTTTAGCAAGTCAAGCTTGCTAAAGAAAGAAGCAGAACCAACACTGTCAACACAATCTTCAACACAGGGCAGAGGAAATGAATCAGGTACTGTTTTTGCATTTAGTTTTCTACAATCTGTAACAAACCGATAAGCTCCACCAGGCTTATTTTCCAAAAAGCAGGGCGAGCTCCAGGAGCTGGTGCTGTTCTTGGCCAGGCCATGTTCCAGGAGGTAGTTTACCTCAGCTTTCATCAACTCCCGTTTCATGGGGCTAGCCCTGTAGGGATGTAAACAAACTGGGACAGAATCAGTCAGAGATATATCATGAGTGATATGGTGGGTTTGGCTGGGAACATCAGAAAACAGTTCTGAGAAGGAATGAATCAAGTGAGAAAGCTCCCTCTGTTGGGAAGAGGTGAGATGACTCAAACTGGAGGTCAGGTTAGAAAGCGCTTCAGAATTACAGAGGCGAGGAGTAATTGGAGGAGATCCCCGGCACGGGATCATCTGGAGAGGTTTTAGTTTTCTGAGGAGTGACTTCCGCAGAGGCAAGACAATGCTGAAGCACAGGATTATTTCGAACACTAAATAGTTTTAATCTATTGACATGACAGACAATGTTTTTTTTTTCTCATGAGGGGTGTTTTAATCACATAATTGCACTCATTTTGTCTGGAGTGAATCTCAAATGGGCCTTCGAATTTTGGAGCTAACGAAGATCCAGCAACAGGTCTTAGAAGAAAGACCTGGTTCCCTGGTTGCAAAGTTCTAGTTACAGCTTTTTTATCAAATGTGCTTTTCATTTTTTGTTTTGCGTCTCGGAGGTGCTGTTGAGCAAAGAGATTAGCTTCTCTCAATCTAGATTTGAAGGTGACCACATATAGAGGAACACTTGTCCCGGTTTGAGGAACGGGCCACAAAATTTTTTCCTTTTGAGCCTTTAGGGGTCCCTGAGGAGTGTGACCGAACACGAGCTGGTGGGGACTGAATCCAGTAGACTCCTGAACGGCGTCTCTGGCGGCAAATAAGACAAATGGAAGTCTGTCTTCCCAGGATCGTCCGGTGGCGTGACAATATTTTCTCAGCATAGTTTTGAGGGTTTGATGCCACCTCTCAACAACTCGCTGACTTTCAGGGTGATAACTGGAGGACTTCAGGTGCTGGATATGTAAAGTCTTAGCCACCTGGGCAAAAATGCGCGAAGTAAAATTGGAGCCCTGATCAGACTGAATGGATCTAGGTAAACCAAACACAGAAAAGAAACCGGTCAGGGCTTTTAATAACATTAGCTGTGGTGATGGAAGACAGTGGCACGGCTTCAGGAAAACGAGTAGCTGAAGAGATGATGGTTAGGAGATATTTTTTCCCTGTTCGAGAGGGCGGTAGAGGTCCCACACAATCAATAACTATGTGTTCAAAGGGGTTTTTTATCACAGGAGTAGGATGTAAAGGGGCCAGCTGAATGGTCTGATTCGGGTTACCTATAGTTTGACACGTCGGGCAGCTTCTACAAAAGTCTGAGACTTCTTTCTTTAATCTTGGCCAAAAGAAATGGCGCAATATGGCGTCATACGTTTTGTTTATTCCTAAATGGCCAGACCATTCACTCTCATGAGCTAACGATAAAATCTGGGAACTGAACTTTTCAGGCACAACTATCTGTTTTATTTTTCCCCAATCGGCGCCTTCAGCAGAGGGCTGGGCCCAACATCGGAGAAGAACCTCGTTCTCTAGTTTACAAGTGGCTATGCCTTTTGAGGGCTTAGCGTCACCAGCCGCGAGAGAAAAATAAGTCTGGAGAGTTTTATCTGCTTTCTGAGCTTCTACTAAAGCATGTAGCTTAAAGGAAAGTTCACCGAAACCTGGGGTTTCATAAAAACAGCAGCATCTGAAGTGGAGTTTTCATCTGACAGAAAAGGATGCAAAACAGAATCACAGAGGGTTATATCTGGATCCTTTTTAGCTTGCGCTCGAGTCAACACACAGGCAGGGAAAGGGCTAGCACTAGCATGAACTTCTGGCTCCAATATGAGCTCAGGCAGAGGCACGACTAAGCCTCCAGCAGCGTCATTCCCTAAAATGAAGTTGACAAATGTGCGTCACTAGGAGTTGAGCTGTCTGAAGAGCTGTGGGGAACCAAGTGACAGGCCTTAGAAAAATGATCATTTAATGTGAGGATGGTACTGCATGGTGGCACAGTTGTTAGCACTGTTGCCTCGCAGCACGAAGGTTGCAGGTTCGAAACTCGGCTGCGGCCTTTCTGCAGGGAGTTGCATATTCTCCCCATGCATGCGTCAGTTTCCTCTGGGTACTCCGGTTTCCCCCACAGATCACAACATGCCCTATAGGTTATAAATTGTAAGTCTCTTTGGATAAAAGTGTCTGCCAAATAAATAAACATAAACATACCTTTCGAGAGGGGAAGTCCTGTGACAGTCCAAAACAATGAGACCATGATCTCTTGGGGATCTGTAGAGGGTGAAGGAGACCAGATGGTGGATGATTGCTTGTCTTGTTATGTGCACAAGTCCTGTAGGCTGACACATATTCTTTAATGTCCCTGTGTAAACCAGTATTTGTGGTTGAGCAGGGCTATGGTGCGACTGGTACCTACGTAACAGGCGGATCTCGAGGCATAGATCCAATTGATGAGTCTCGAACGGACTGTTGAGGAAACATAGGTTTGATTCTAGGGCACAGTAACAGGGCCTGGTTCATCCCTCTGAGCTTGTTGGATGTAATTCTCTACCCCCCAGGTGAGAGTTCCGATAGAGCAGTTCTGGGGAAATAAAGATGCTGGGTCTTGGTTGGACATCTCAGGTGAATGTTGCAGGGAGGGGGCGTCGGGTCTAGAGTTCTTAGAACCTGAACAATAAGAGATACACAGGTGAAAATGTGAAAAGAAAATGGACCATTGAGACTGCCAGGGGTTAAGCCTTTTGGCTGATTTAATGTTTGAGAGGTTCTTACGATCCGTCCACACCAACTCTGGCTTTTCTGCTTCATCCAACCAGTGTCACCACTCCTCAAGTGCTAGTTTGATTGCTAAGAGTTCTCTGTCACTCACATCATAGTTCCGTTTGGCAGGGCTCGGTCTGCGTGAAAAAACGGCACATGGATAAAGCTTACTTTTCTTCCTGGCACTCGCAGATTACAGACGCTTCTCTTTTCGCTCCCTTATCTTTTGTTCCCAAGGCTCTTTGTCCTGTCTGCCCACAGAGTGCTTTTCTGCATTTCTTCTGAAAAACCCCATTTTTAACCATGGATTTGATAAATTGGTCATTCGATGCGATTCATAAGATTTTTTCAACAATGAGAACGGAGCACGGGGCTCCCACATGTCCACAGGGGACACACCCGGTGGGGTATATGCTGGATTCCTGGAAGGAATGGAAGATCATATGCCTCTCCCAGCTGTCCATTGAGGATATCGAAGACGTGTGGATATTCGGCCTGATGATCACTGGATTTCTCCTGATTGGAGTGAGAGGATTTCTAGTTTTCTGTAAATTTGGGAAGACGGGAGCGATTTGAGGGCGACCTGCACCCACGGAAAGCACCGTCCGTGTGGAGACTTCACAGACTGGGATGCTACTCGAGGTGAATCGTAAGCTGGACGATGTTCTAGCTGCGATACCGGTATTAGTATGCAAAATGGATGTCATCTCGGAGAGAGTCACCGGACGGTACGGACAAGTTGAAAAACCCAAAATCGCCTTCACTGAAGGACTGGAATGATCAGTTTAAAGACTGAAGGCAGAGAGGAAAATTATCTCAGCCTGACCCAAACAAATTCTTGTTATCCGAATCTGACGCCCTGGTAGCCTTGAGCGGCAACAAACCCCCATGAAGGAATGCAGACAGATGCTGTGAAAACCCGACCTACCCCTCCCACCTTCGGATTGGTGGACTTCAGCCTGGCGAGGTCATCCCCCCCGCCTTCCTATTGGAGTCTCATGTTGTGTTGTCTGAAGTCTGTTGCATATCTATTGAGGTGTTTTTTTGCAGAGCAAAGCTGCCCTCCTGGTGGGAGGGTAGCTGTGAAGTGCCTTGTTTTCCCTCCACCTGAACCAGTTCCTCATGTTACCCTCTCATCTCTATTAAGGTAGCGCAACTCGAGTTGCGAATGACCACAGTCACCAATTCTTGTCATGTATCTTGCCCATGTATGTCTGATCTCTGAAATGTGTGTACTGAAACTCTAATTTCCCTCTGGGATGAATAAAGTATTGATTGATTGATTGATTGATTGATTGATATCTTTTGCATGCTGGGAAAGAACCACACCAATCCCAGTCTCTGATGCAGCCATCTCCAAGACATACTGTTTCAGGGAGTCAGGATGAACCAGCATGTGAGCCTGGGAAAAAAGGGTCTTCAGTTTTTATTATTATAATTTTTTTCCTGTCTGGCTGTGAAGCAAACAGAATTGTCTGAATGCTGGTGACAAGCATTACAGATTTACTCTCAGGTGGAGCATCAAAGCTTCTGCTTTCAATGTCATGCCTGATACCTAAAACTTTATTGTACAACAATACAATACAACAAGAGCAAGCTCACTGTGTCAACCTGATGAGTAAATGAACATTGTTTTACTGAACAATGACACGATAATAAATCACAGTGCATTTAGTGCCAACCACAGCCTTAAGACATGTGTTGAAAATGCCCAAGTCCATACTTCTGTAAGCACCATGTGAGCACCTGTGTGCGTGCACGCGCTTGTATATGTAAGGTTTCTCTGTAGGAGCGTCCAATAGAGAGTGTGAAGGGCCACAATCTGCCCCCAATGATGTGTAGAAGATGGAGGGAGCTCCAAGCCCCAGAGATCCAGGAGATGCCCCAGAGCATAGGGACCCTATGGAGACTGTAACCAGAAAAGCCCCAGCCCCCTCCCGAGAGGCACAGAGGATTGTCCCAGGGGGCCACAACCAGCAGCCGGCAGAGTCCTGGGAGATATCAGCGGCAAGCCCACAGGCCCGCCCGCAGCCTCCCACCCCCAAGCCGGCCGAGCCCGGAACCCAGCAACCCGGGACCCAGGGGTTGCCAGACCCGCAGGGGACCCAACAGAGCTCTGGGACTCAGATCCCACCAGGCAGCCACTGGCATCAATTAGACAGGCGCCAAAAATCTTAAACCCCCTGATCCGGGAGCCGCAAACACTCAGGTAGACCAAGGCACCAAATTCTGCACCAAATGTGGCAGGGGGAGGGTATGCGAAATTGTGTAGCAGCACAAGAAGTCCCAGGAGAGGGGATGTGTCCAAGATCCCACCTGACATATAGAGTCATACACAGACACAGTCACACACTCCCTCCCTCATGCTCACACATACACATACAAACTAAGACTCACAAAAATTAATGCTGGACATCCACTCACGCTCCCCATACACACCCTACTCACTCTGGTCCCGGTACTGCTGCACAAAGTGTACAACCATCACCGGTTCCCAGAGTTATTCCCTTTCTTTTGGGGTGATGATGAGCAGGCTCCGCTCCCTTGCTCATTGCCAAGCAAAGCAACCCACCACCCCAGACCCAAACATGATGGCCAGCTCCCAATCCTAGCCTCCAGCCCCGGGAAGCCAGGCGACAATAGAGGTGTGCTAAGACCCCTTGTCTCACTCCGCCTGCTCCAATACAGTGTTAATGTGTACTGATGAGGTGTATTACGTAGCTTTGGTGAGCGGGCAGTGCAGGCATTGTCTGGCCAACTACAGCTGATGCCACCACAGCCCTCTTTGTCTAAGTGCAGTTTAGAATTGGAAGTAGGCACCGGCACTCGGAATGAGGCTGAAAGATCCCCTTGCCAAATGCCGTTGAGTGTGCTCACTCCCAAGGCCCTAAGTGAGTTTTTGCGTGGAATGCCATTGGTGGAAGTGTTTAATGTGCAAATAAAATTGGTAAGCCAATTTGGGAACCATTATTGTAAAGTGTTACAGAAAAAGAATAAACCTCCAACCTTATTTAACATTGCCAAAAAAATGCAGCGTTTTACCTGCAGTTATTCACCACTGAAGGTTAACTTCTACAATAAAGTGAAATTTATAAAATGTGATTAAATTAATCGGGAATCAAGATAGTAGGAGGAAATGTTATTTCAGTTTTACATTTTTCACTTCAGTTCAAACTATTTATAATTTTTTGTTGTCATCAAATTGAGCTTATATTTTATTTAAATATCTTCATCTTTGTTAATTTTATGAAGTATTTTTGTGTTGCATTGCTTGAATAATGAATAACAATGTAACATAAAAACTACTTGAAATGTGTTGTATTTGTTAAATTAGTTTTGAATGTTAAAAGTTCTTTAAATAGTACCTTTTAGAAGTATTTGTTCTGATGCAATTAATATGTGAGAATATTAACAACCAGTTATCCATCCATCCATTTTCTGAAACCGCTTTGTCCACGTAGGGTCGCGGGGGGCTGGTGGCTATCTCCAGCGGTCAATTGGCAGTCAGGCGGGGTACACCCTGGGCAGAGAGCCAGTCCATCCCAGGGCAACACAGAGACACACAGGACAATCATGCACACACACAATCACACCTAAGGACAATTTATACAGACCAATTAACCTAACAGTCATGCTTTTGGACTGAGGGAGGAAGCCGGAGAACCCGGAGAGAACCCACGCATGCACAGGGAGAACATGCACACTCCATGCAGAAAGATCCCAGGCTGGGAAGCGAACCCAGGACCTTCTTGCTGCAAGGCAACAGCTCTAACCACTGTGTCACTGCGCAGCCCACAGCCAGTTATTTTGACATTACTAAATAAATTGAAGTAAAGAAAATGTGATAGAGTGGGAACTCTGGAAGTTATTTGCTGATCTGACAGTATCTTCAAGATAAGGGCTCCGGTCAGAGAGCAGGGCACGGAGAGACAGTTTTACGTATTTAATGACAGTTGAAGTATGGACATCTGTACATTTCTGTGGTTCCGTGTGGTCTGGAAAATAAATACAAAGAATGATGTAAAAGGACTGTACAAATGGTGAAGTAAATATGCCAACGTTTAAGACTAAGTAAAAAACAAATATGTTCCCAAATGATGCACATTCAAGGGTTACACAGAGTAAATATTGTGACTTCCAGCCTCAGAGGCACTGACAAATTATATGATCTCCAGGGACCTCTGGTGGTCAAACCAAGGTACTGCTGTTGCAAGTACCACACTACTAAACCATGCTGCCAATTAGCCTGGCATTATACCACACCTCAACTGAACTGACGTCATGGATGGATACACATGGAGTAAATGGAATAAAACTCAAATAAACCAGTATTTAGCACACATAACACAAATTAAGAGAAGTGAAATGAGGACTACAAGCGAGAATAGCAACTGATACCAATTAAACTGTAGGAACTCCCTCTAAATAATCCAAACAATATGTCCAGACAGACATAAAGGAAACTGAATGAACTTATAGGTTATTTATGTATCCATAGAGGTGCTACGGTTGGCCAAACTTACATATCAGTCATGAACGCACACGAGGCTGTCTGCCATCACCAACAGCTTGGACAAAATGGTAGAAACGGCTTTACAGGAAGTGACTATCTAGAGGAAGTGATGTCACAAACTGGACCACCAAAATAAGAGTGGGGTAACTTTACAAATGATCTTGTAAAACTGCCATAACTATAACCCTTTCTGACAGAAAATATAAGGCCATATGGCCCATTCCTACCCTAATAAACCAGCTTTTATCAAGCGCCCCCCTTGTCCTGCATGTTTTCCATGTCTCAGATTCAGCCCACCTGATTTATAAATTTGTATTGCTTTCTCAGGATGACATCAATTGCTGCAAAAGCTTGGTAATCACTCATTTATTTAGATCAGGTGAGTGACAGCAGGGAAACACCTAAAGCATGGAGAACAGGGGGGTGCTGAGGACCAGGGTTAAGAAAAACTAGGAGAAGATAAATCCAGAGGAGGGCTGCATTGGCACAACACTGCTACTGAGAGAGAACCAGAACCCTCACTCACACAGAATGCAGAATGGGTGTGGTTCAGTTTTAAATGTATCATAAATCATTGAGTCCAATCAGAGTATTAACACCAGCTATGGTGCAGATCCGAATGTAGAGATCCAGAAAGTTTCCCAATGGAGTCTATTTTAAAGAATTCACCTGAGCCAGACAGGAAGTGAGACATGGTTCAGTGTTGAGGAGATTTAATGAAACAACCTCAATAATCATTGATACGTTCTACTTTTGGAGAAACATCAACGTGTTTGACTAAGGGGGAACTCGTATGAGAAAAAGACTAAGGGGGTACACAAGTAAAAAAAAAAGGTTGAGAAAACACTGATGTAGGTGATAGGAGACATTATGAAAGTAATTATTTATCCATCCAAGACGGTGTATACAGTATACCAGTACATATATAGTAAAAACAGTAATTGACCCAAAACAGAGCCTTGAGGTACCCCACAGAAGAGATCGCTTTATACAGATACTGAAACTTCTATTAGAAGTTGAAAAGTACATTCTAAACCAGTCTAGAACAGTTCCAGTGTTCTCTACAGAGTTACCAAGTCTATTAAAGAGCAAGTAACATCTAAATTAACATTTTTTTTGCTGATGAACTGCATAAATGAGTGGCTAATAGTGTTTTAAATGTGTGTATTCATTATTTTAGCATTTTTGTGCATTTTCTTTAAAAATTAATCATTCTGCCTAAATACCACAGTATAGCGCCACCTTCAGCTTAAATCATAGAGTTTGAGTCATTTTGAATACACTTTAGCCAATTGCTAACGAGAAAGATACTACGTAAACCAGTAGAGTACTACGTAGCAGCTCTGTGTCAAAGTTATAAAGCATCGAGTGTCTCGGCTACGCCTTGTGGCAAGTTGGGAGTTGGATTTGCAAGCGAGTGTAGGATGGTTAGCGGTAGTTCAGCATTAGCATATAGCATTAGCATATCCTAATCTTTAGCATTTCTTTTAGTGTTATACTTACTTATTTGGTGTTAGCTTGGCTGTTAGATATTGTAGTTTAGTTAGTGTTTAGCTGTTAGTGTAATTAGGAAAGTAGTTCGGGTTTAGTGTTCCATATCGTGTTAGTATGGTGAGAAGGTGTAGTGTAGTGGGTTCGGTGGCTCTGTGGGGCTGCACTTCTTTCCGCTGGACTTAGAAATTAGGCGCCAGTTATTGCGCAGTCGGTGTCTGGAAAACAGTCAGCTCCCGCCTGGTGCTGTAGTTTGCGACCAGCATTTTACCTGCGATTCCTTTGCCAACATGATGGAGTTTGAACTGGGTAATTCTGCAGTGATAGCTTGATCTTGCTGTATTGTTGTTGTGTCCCATTTTTTTTAGCCCTTTTGCTTTTTTTTTTTGGTCTTTTTCTGCAGGTCTAGAAGCAGACTCTTGTTCATTATTGTTTATTTTTGTGGACCCCCCCCCCCTCTCTCTCTCCCCACCTTTTCTTTTCCTTTCTCTTTCACCTCTGTCTCCGTGTCTGGTCGGAATTACAAAGCAATCAAAAACAATAACAATAAAGTTTTAAGTATCAGGCGTGACATTAAAAGCAGATGCTTTAATGCTCCACCTGAGAGTAAATCTGTAAGGCTTGGTACCAGCATTCAGACATCAATTCTGCTTGCTTCACAGCCAGACAGGACACGGTATAAAAAAAAGAAAAAAAAAGCATATCCTAATCTTAAGCATAGCTTTTAGTGTTATGGGCTCGACACACGGGAGGCAACATCGCCTCTCCTCCAATCATTTTCAATGAGACATGCGCGACAAAGCGATAATCGCGTGTCTCTCTCCTACTATGCGAAATGCGAAAAACGTGCGTGTGAAATTTTGCACTCGTGCACGTGCCGTGCACAGATGACCCAGCGACGCGATCCCACAAAGTTGAAACATTTTCAACTTTTCATCGCTGTCGCTCGGACGAGGACCAATCAACGGAGGTTTCATTCACTGACCAATGAGCGGACAGGATGCTTCGCACATCTCCGAGCAAACATGAAGGAGAAGTTGATTATTATTATGTTTTATAGTAAAATCAGAAGTAAGATTTCACATAACTCTAGCAGCACCTTGTGAAACATCATACCTACCACTTTATTAACTCTGAACCGCTTAAATAACCTTAATTCCCTCCAACGTGACACAGTCAAACAAGACAACGGAAGTTTCGATTTCGCCATGGAACAGAACGCATAGACGGCTTTGCCGCTGGCCGCTGCCGCGGATCGCCTCCCGTGTGACAGGTAATAAAAGCGACGGCGACAAATTTCGCTGATCGCGGTCGTTTGTCGCCTCCCGTGTGTCGAGCCCATTATACATACTTAATTAGTGTTAGCTTGGCTGTTGGATATTGTAGTTTAGTGTTTGGCTGTTAGTGTTATTAGGAAAGTAGTTCGGGTTTAGTGTTCCATATCGTGTTAGTGTGGTGAGAAGGTGTAGTGTAGTGGGTTCGGTGGCTCTGTGGGGTTGCACTCCTTTCCGCCTGTTTCCGTCTGTTCTGGACTTAGAAATTAGGCGCCAGTGATTGCGCGCAATCGGTGTCTGGAAAACAGTCAGCTCCCGCCTGGTGCTGTAGTTTGCGACCAGCATTTTACCCGCGATTCCTTCGCCAACATGAGTTTGAACTGGGTTATTCTGCACGTCTCCGTTTGAAGAGGGAGGCCGTGCCCACCGTGGCTCTTCCGCAATTTAGATGCAGCCCACCGACTCTGCTCCCCCACCATGGCGGGCTCCAGTCTGAGGTGAGTAAGCTAAATAAAAGTTTTAACATCTTCTAAAGACAATTCCCTACCTAAATGCAAAGTTTGAGAGACATGGTTCACTTCATTTAGCTAATATCAGTCTGCACTGCCTTCGGGCAGATTTGTCAAGTTCACAAAATGTGGAACGGGATGTAAGGTTAGAATAAGCGGCGAATCGGAACAAATCTCGAAGCCCTGGCCAACGAAACGGTCCACATGACTATTACTGTTAGGCTCTGAGAAAATTCGGGTTGTTTTTGTGTCAGTCGGTAATTCTGCAACAGTGACTCTAACTAACGCAGCACTAGTTGACAGACATCATTACAGCGTGAAATCCAGCTTTACACCACAGCGTGACCCGGTTCTGTGAGGAATTCTGTTCAGGAGGTCGCATTTCAGGCTCTCTTCACATCATATGTGACTGACTTTTACGTTATAATAACGATCACACACTAGGAATGTTATAAAATGCCTATATAGGACAGTTCATTTTGTATATTATCTGACTTTATAAACTTTAACATCAATGTGCTTCTATTTTTTTTTCAGGCTAAATCTACCCAAGACATTGGCTGTCAGACTGATTTAGTAGTCTGCAAGAATGCACTTGTCCAGGCTGATGTGAAGCCTTACCAGCGTATCAAAGGTGAATTATTTTTAATTATCGTCTATGTAAACATTTTATTATCACCTTCTAGTTTTAATTTGTTTTACAGGTTATTGTTGCACGTGATTTTATGCTCTTTTAAACATTTATTAATGAGCTGCTTCTTTGTTTTTTACATAGCCACCTAGTTTAGAGCTCCCAGCCTCAGTGTGTCTTGTGACACAGGGACCATGACAGAAATTCATCTTCCAGAAAGTCCCAGAGCAGCGTCCACACCCCTGAAAAGACCAAGATGTGAGGTGTCTGCTGTTGATTCCAGCTTCCACCTCAGTGACAGTGCAAGCTCAGTGAACTGTTCAAGGTAAAAAAATTAAAGCATTTCAGAATTTTTAAGATATTAACAATTAAATAAGTATGTGATTACATCATGACATCATGAAGGAGGCTACTGATTCTGGTCCTGTGACACTTGGTGGTGACGTGTGAGCTGATTCACCTGGTAAATAAATTTTACATTAAATATTTTGTTATTTGCTATCAAAAGTAAATTAACTAATAACCTGCATTATTGCAAGACACTCAGCAAAATATGGACTCTACACCATGAGGCAGGCACACGTTAATACTCTATAAGAGCACATAGGGTGAGCAACACCACAAATTATTGTTATTATTGTACACTGACCAGGATTTGTTTTTTTTCTGCATCTCATCATTAGCCTGGCTGATCACCTGATAACTCATGTCATCTGGTTATGACAGCATGAGGATGTCCTCACACACCTGTAACCTATCAACTCATCTGGCAGAATAGAGAGAGAAGAGACAACACCACATCTCCTGTTCCTGGAAAGCCTTCAGCCATCCTTCAATGACTGAGAACCTCCATCAGCTCTGTCTCCTGTCTGCCTACAATTATTATAATAAATATTGTGTTTGACAAGTTCTTTGTACTGCCAAATGTCTCATGTTTATTCCAGTTTTTATATTTTAATGGATATTTTTAAATTACATTAACTGAATTATCACATTGTTGCATGTTTAACTAGCTCTATTGTGATGAATTAAACTAGCACCTCACTGTTAAAAGCTCGTGTTAATTTCAAGCATGTTTAAGTATTTATGGACAAAAACAGGAAATATATAAATTGAGATTTATTTAATTAACATAACAAATAAGGGGGAAAGAGTCATTGAAAGGCACATTCTTCTGGAAGCTCCTGATCCTGACGACACCAGCAGAGGAAACCACCTGCAGACACCAGAGGATCGCCTACGACCAA